GTGTGTGGGGCATCATCCCAGTAGCAGGGGGAACAGACGCCCTGGGGGCTTGCTCAAGGTTACACACGAAGAAAGGCCACAAGTCAGAGCCAGACACCGCCCCCTCCTCCACCAACAGGGCCCCTTAGCCAACTGGCTCAAAAAGCGGCGCCAAGAGACAACTGGATTCATTCCAGGACGCCTGGGTTCTTTCCAAAGTAAAACTGCTGGCAATCAAGCACTGTAGGGTGCTGTTGGTAGAGTCAGTTAAACAATGTTACACTTACAAGAAGCCATTTGATTTGGTTTAGTCGATTTACTCCTCTTCTCCCTCTTTCTGTTGCTGATGCCATGACACAGGCTTGCAGGACACCAGATTCACTTCCTTTGATTCCAAAGGGGAGTACCACCAGGAGCATGGCCAGGCCAGATGGATGGATGGATGGATGGATGGATGGATGGGTGGATGGGTGGAGGGATGGATGGGTGGAAAGATGATGGATATATGGAACATGTACAGATGTATGGTGGATAGATGGTGGATGATGGATGGAGGGTGGATAATGGATGGATGGAGGACGGGTGGGTGGATGGAAGATGATGGGTAATGAAGGAATGGGAGGGTAGATAGGCAGATGGATGAAAGGCGGATGGATGGATGGACGGATGGATGGATGGGTAAGTGGTGGACGAACGGAGGAGTGGGAGGGTGGGAGGTGGATAGATGGATGCGTGGTAGGTGGATGGATGGACGGGAGGGTGACAGACGAATGAAAGGATGGGGTGGGAGGTAGATGGGAGGATGTTAGTAAGAGGATGGATGATGGCAGGAAGGTGAAGGGGTAGAAGGAGGAATAGACAAGAGAATGAATGAATGAATGGGCAAGCAGATGAGTGAATGAATTCTAAGTGGTACAGTGAAATCTAAACTCCGATAGAGCTTCTGGGGTTGGTTTTGTTGTTTGTTGCACACCTGGTGGTGGTTCAGGCTCCCTCCTGGCTCTGCACTCGGGAATTTCTCCTGATGGTGCTTGGGGGACCACACGGGGTGCTGGGATGTGGCCCAGGTTGGCCACGTGCAAGGCAAACACCTGCCCTGCTGTACTACTGCTCGGACCCCTGCACTCTGGATTTTACTGTCCGTCCTGGTTCTGCATCCTGAATATCCAACAGGAAATAGCAACCATGAGGTGCCATGACATGAGGAGGTTTCAAGGCCAGCCTGAGCCGTGGCCTTGGGGGACCCAGAGGCCCCCCTGCTGCTGTCAGAGGGTCCACATCTCCAGTCAGTCCGGCAACAGCTCCCTACCCAAGACCCCCAGGTCCCTGGCCATGCCCGGAAGAGCCACTCAGCGGCTGAGTCCATCATCCCTCACCTCGCACCTGCCACTACCTGGGTCAGCTCTGCCAAGGAGGCGCCATACCATCCCCCAGGCACAGAAGCCCGGTCACGTGACCCTCCACCCCCTGCAGAGCAGTGGAGACGGTCACGAGATAAGAGGGACTCAGGTCTCTGACTGAAGGCCAGTGCTGGCCCCAACACTGGTGCTGGGCACCTTGGGGTCTAATGCATGCCCACAGGATGCTTGCCCAGAGCCAGGGTGAGGTGAAGGGCCTCAGGGCTCCCTGAAGCCAAGTCCCCTTGTGTGTAAGCTGGGGGAGGGGGCAGGTCCCAGCCCCAGAGCAGGGTCACCACCAAACAGAGGACACAAGACTAGCCACTGCCATGGACGTGTGCAGGGACCCCTCTGTCCTGGAGAACCCAGGCTCTCCACCCGGGGGGCCGGATCCCGGGACCCTGCTGTCCCGTAGAGCCCAGGCTCTGCACCCCAGGGACCTGGGCCGTTGGGCTTCCTGCTTCTGGAGCAGATCATGCCCAGCAGACACGAGGATCCCGGCAGGAGGTCACATGGAAAGTTCTGGGAACTCCGAGTTTGAGGGTTCTGGGGTCCTGGCTGGTGAGAAACAGAAGGGGGGAAGCGCCCCCAGGGGTAGGGGGGTGTTTGTTCACAGCACCAGGCTGTCGGCGCAGTGTGGGGGGCCATAGGGCAGGCTTGGGGGGCCTGGAACGCACAAAAGCAGGGATGCCTGATCAGTGAGGGTTCTGGGCAGAGCGACGCCAGTGTCAGGCTTGGGGATGGGGGGGGAGGGGAGACACAGACCAGAAGCCAGAGCTGAGAGACTTCCCCGGGGTCACAGTGCAGGGGCTCCTCTGCCCCTGGCCTGGAAGCTGGGGTGCTCAGTGGCCGTCCCCGCAGACCCTGACGGGAAGCCTGTTCTCTGTCCCCAAGAGGGGCGGGAAGGAGGGGCTGGAGCGACAGGACAGTGGGGTAGGGCAGGGAAGGGCAGGGCGCTCCGTCCCGTCCCGGCTTGACCCCAGCACCACCGACACCCCGAGCCCAGAGCCAGCAGCCAGCCAGCACTGTGGGGTGTGGTCCGAACACAGAAAGGGTGAGAAGGTGATAAGGGGGTGGGGTGCAGAGGTGAGGGGGTGCCTGGACTTCCCAGTGGGGGACTGCAGGGGACTTTCCTCTCAGGCTAATCTGCACCCCTCCCCTGCACAATGGTAGCCACAGTCCTGAGGGCGCACCCAGGGTACCCACCCCAGCAACCTGCAGGCCTGCGGGCTGAGAGGGGCTGCCCCAAGTTCACAAAAATCAGGGTGTGAGGAGGCAGGAAAAGAAAGCGGGGGGGGGGGGGGGGGAGAGCTCAGGGGGCCCCACCCTCACCCAGGTTCCAAGTCCAGGGCGCACCTCTGGGGACAGGTTTGGCAGGAGGAAGCCAGGCCAGCCTGGGACCTTGGAATGGGGCCTGTGGACGGCAGGGCCCCCCTTAACAGCCCAGGCCCAACAGGCCCACAGCCCTGGCGAGCACCTGCTGGCCCCGAAGACACAGCCTGGCTCACAGAACAGAAACCACTTCCCCCTGTTTGAGGCCCAGCGCCCCTGGCTCCCAGGCGGTGTGAGCTCAGGCAGGAGGCGCAACCTCTCTGGGCCTCATTCACAAGGGCATCCCGAATGAATGAGGCCAGCAGACGGGCAACCCAGGCTGGCCGGTCAGGGCCCGCGGCTGGACAGATGGCGGGGCGGGAAGGCAGCCTCCCCGGCCATTCAGAACCCGACAGGCAGCTGCCAGGCACCCACCCGCCAGCGTGGGGGGCGGGGAAGAGGCGCGGAGAACCGCAGAGAAGGCCGGAGGAAGGAAGTCTCGCCGCATCTCAGCGGGATGCACCTACCCAGGGTCACCTTCCCGGGGGAGAACAATAGCTTCAGAGGCACAACCGGCCAGGGGCAGCGGCCAGCAGGGCCAGCAGGAGGAAAGAAAGTGGCCGCGCAGGAAGGAGGGAAGCTGGCCGGGGCACAGAGCCTCCCCGGGGAGCCTACGGGGCAGAAAATCCTGCTGAATCTCTTCCGTGGGGCCACGCCGGGGCCAGGCCGGCGGCGAGTTTGCACTTTCCTCTGCCTGGCCTCGGGCCAAAGGGCAGAGGGGGGTGGAGGTGACAGACTTCTGGAGTCGGTGACCCTGCCCCACCCAGAGCCACAGATACAAAATTCAAAAATTCTTTTCTTTTCCCTTTTTGAAAATTTTCTAGACCACACCCAGCCATGCTCAGGGCTGACTCCTGGCTCGGCACTCTGGGGGTGCTCGGAGCACTTTCTGCAGGGCTGTTTCAAACCAGGGCTTTCCGGGCACGGAGAATCCCGGGGCAGCTCCAGAAAGGGCCTTTCCGTGGGCGAACACTATTACCCAGCCCCCAGGCACTCGGGGGAGACTCTGAATCAAACTAAGCGCAGGAGCGGTGGACGCTCAGAGGGACAGCGAGGGACAGCGCTTGCTTTGTGTGCGAGTCCAGGTTCAACCCCAGCTCGGCTTGGTTGCGCCCAGTGAACCCCTCCGCATCACCACAGATACAGAATTTAAAAATTCTTTTCTTTTTCTTTTTTGAAAATTCTCTAGACCACACCCAGCCATGCTCAGGGCCGACTCCTGGCTCTCGCACTCGGGAATCACTCCTAGCAGTGCTCAGAGATCCCATGGGATGCCAGGGATCAAACCGGGGTTGGCCGAGCGCAGGGCAAGTGCTGTCCTATCTCTCTGGCTCAAAAAAAATTAAAAAAAAAATTTTTTTTTAAATGAACTGAACGCAATATTTCCTTTGATTCAGAAGCCCCTAGGAAGGAACCATGTGCCCTTGGCAAGACTCGGGAGTCTCTATTTCACAAATGACCTCGAGCTGGAACTGCATGGTCCAGGGCACTCGGCACAGACTCGACTCTCCAGGACGACTGGGAGGAAACTGAGGCTGGCAGAGGCGGGATGAGCTCTCCCAGCCCCGCCCTGGCCCCCTGGGGCGCTGCCTTTGTCTGAATGAATCTGTTTCCAAGAGAGACCAGGCGGGTCCCAGCTCCAATCTCAGCTTGAAAGGCTGAGCCGAGGCCTCAAGACGGGGGCTGGGGGGGGCGCACCCACATCTTCTCTCCTGCCCAAGCCATGGCCCTGCACTGACCACAGTCCCCATGCTGCTGGCTGAGTCCCACACCTGGGCAACCACCTTCGGGATCCAAACCAGGGCCATTGCTAATCATTACCCTGTCACCTGGAGTCCTCCCGCGGGATGGCGCCGGGCAGGGTCCTCATCGCCCGTCAGTCTTGCCTGTTCTACAACTTTCTGCAAACCAGCCTCCTTCCTCTCTCTCCAGACAAAAACCACCAGGACCCGCACACTGGCCGCGGATACGGGCCAGGGGAGAGCCGCGCCTGCCCAGTCCCTCGGGCAATAAGCCCCACTTGGTGTCCTGGGGGCTCAAGAGCCCTCCTGGACACGGCGTGGGACCCCGTGACCCTCCGTCGGTCGCCTGGGGTGGCTCCCAGGTCTAAGGACTAAGAGGCTTTGAAAGGGCTGAGTCTGATCGTCCCCACCCGCAGCCGCGCCACGGAGCCCCGGGGGGACCGGCTCCTCCCGGGCAGCGGTGGACGGAGGTCCCCAGGGGTCAGGCACTGCCCCGCAGGCGGCTCCCTACCTGTGCACTGCTGGATGAAGTCCTGATACTCGGCCCCCTGCTCCCCGGGGACGATGGTGGAGCCGTCGTATTTAAAAGTCACCCTTCGGATGGGAGGGAGAGAACACAGACATCAGCGCCGCGGGCAGGGGCCGGCGAAGTCGCGCTGGCCGGCGGCCGGGCGCGGCCCCGCGCGACGCCCCCCGGCCCCTCGCCGGCCCGGGAGGGGCCCGGACCGCCCGGAAGGGCCCTCACCAGATGACGTCCGAGCCGTCGTCGCGCACCAGGTTGTACGCCGTCCGGCAGGCCTCTTTGTCGATCTTGGTGGCCATGGCTGCGGGGCCGCAGGGGGACAGCCTGTCCGCGGCGACCGAGCGTCCCCGGCGGGTCTCGGGAGCGGGGCGCGGCGGGGCTGCGCCGAGGGAGGGCGGCGGGCGCGGGCGGCGGCGCGGGGACGCGGGGCCGAGAAGCTGGACGCGGGGCGCGGGATGCGGGGCGCGGGATGCGGGATGCGGGATGCGGGATGCGGGATGCGGGATGCGAGACGCGAGCTGCGAGCTGCGAGCGCGCCGGCTGCTCCCGGGGCTCACGGAGCGCGCGCGGGGACCTGGCCGCGCCGCCCCGCCCCCGGCGCCCGATTGGCTGCTCGCGACGCCGCTCGCCACGCCCCCCGCGCCCATTGGTCCATAGGACTCGGGGCGGGGCGTCGTCTCTCGCCGGCAGCCAATCCCCAGGCGGGCGGGTTGCGCAATTTGGCCGAGGGGGCTGGAGAAAGGGGCTTTCCTCCTCCTCTCGCCCCTTCCCTGCTCGCCTCCCTCCGGTTCGCTTCTCTGCTCCCTCCCGGCCTCCGCTCCCAACCCCCTCCGGGTGCTCCCACTTCCTCAGCCCCCTCCCCTTCCCCTTTCTGCTCCCCTCCCCCGTGTCTCTCTTCGCCACCCTCCAACTCCTTCCTTCTCTCTGCTACCTCGCCTCTGCCCCTCTCCCTGCATCTTCCTCTTCCTCTTCTCTCCACCCCTCTAACACTACCGCTCTCAGGCTACACCCCCGAAGCTCCCCAGTCGTGCAGGGGGATCCATGTCTATTTTCACACAATCGGGCTACAGTAGACTCCCCTCCCCCCCACCCCCCAGACGCCTGATTCTCTAGAGGCCCGTGGGGAAGACGCGAGCTCTCCCCAAGGGGGGCTCCGGAGTGGCTGGCTTCCAGGGCTGGTGATGGGTCACTGATTCTTTTGTATTCTGATTATTTGCATTCAGGTCTTATCTTCCCCTCTAGGCTCCTAAGAGCGCTAGCTGACTCACCCTGGCGCAGACCCGTTCGTTTCCTTCCATGGGATGGTCCGATGGTCCGCGAGGACCTGGGGCAGGCTCCTGAGCTTCCTGCGACACCGGTGTCTCTAACTGCTTTGGGTCTAACTAGCCCCAGAAGCTCTCTGGGATTGATTTTCCCGCATAGAATGATAAACAGTATGGACATCCTGGATTGATGATTCAATAAAAGGTATGCATACAGATATCATTAGACATGCAATGGGAGGTCCTAAGATAAAATGTTGTTTTTTTAAGAATTTAAATCCGGGGCTGCGGCTGGAGTTCCAGTGGCGTAAGCCTCTGTCTTGCATGAGACCCGGATTCAGTTCCCAGCACCACAATCGAAAGATTAATAAAATCCTAACTAGAAACCCAAGCGCTCAGAATCAGTACCCACTCAATAAGTTTTAAAAAATCTCAGTGAGAAATCAATAATATCAATCCCTGGATGGATCACTGGGTGAGGGGGGGGAACGACATCTCCAGAAAATTAGGGGCAGGTGCTACTATAGATCAAAACACAGAGATCTTGGGTTGCTAGAGGTAACCCAAGCCAGTTCTTCCTCCCTTCCTCCCTGCAAGAAAAGCAAAGATGATTCAAGTCTCTGATCAAGGCAAATTCCAAAAGATCAAAGTAAGTGTCAATCCCCCGGAAGCCCGGGAGTTCAGAGCCTGGAGAGTCTCCTCTTCCCCCCGCCCCCACCGTGGTCTCTCTACCAAGACTCAAAACTCACAACAACCAAGCACATCGCCTACACAAAGAAATGCTTGGGGCTTGAGAGCTGAAGCCTTCGTCCGGCACGTGGCTGACCCAGGTTGGATCCCGAACGCCCCATATGGTGCCCCGAGCCCCACCAGGAGTGACCCCTAAGCACAGAATCTTGAGCACCACCAGGTCCGGCCCCCCAAACCAGAAAAAGCAAGCCCCCTCCAACGAGGAGTCTCTGATTCGTTGCTGCTGGCGCCCTCTACCGGACGAGAAAGGTAAAGGGTCAGTTTTAGAAAGAACCCTGGTTTGGACCTTGCCCAGGCACCTGGGGCCATGCCGGGGCCCTGAGAATGGTCCCCAGCTGGTGCAGAAAAATCACGCGCTTATCAGATATACAGACAGAGTCAAAATATTTGCCTGCATTGCGATTCACACAACATAAGGATCAGACAAAATAAAATTCACATATCTTTAAAAGAGCACTCAAAAAAAAAAGTGATTGGACACTGCTGTGTCAAGAACTGGGGAAGGCCCATTCATCCATCCTGGACTGAGTTGTTTTGTGTCCAAGAGGGGCTGGGGGCCACCACCTGGCGTCCTGTAGGGGGCAGGCATGTGATGACCAGGATGCAGCCTCTAGAGAAAGTATTTCTGCAACAGGTGACTCATGTGGAGTGCCGACAGAAGGGGCCTCAAAAAATGCCTGTCTTGGGCCGGAGACGGGGCAGGAGCTACGGCAGCCGACCCCCAGGCGTTACTCGGAAGGCCCCACAAAGAACTAAACAGAGGAATGGAGAGAGAGTACAGTGGGAGGGCGCTCGCCTTGCACACAGCTGACCGGGGGTCAGTCCCTGCTCCACGTATGATCCCCTAAGCACTGCCAGATGTGGCCCAATCACACCCCCTCCCTTACCTCCCTACACATCTGTGTGGACAGGCGCTTACTGGGCAGGTCCCGACTGTCCCAATCATGATCTGAGTGTGCAGCCCTGACAGTGCATGGACTGAGCATGGCGGGGTTCAGCCTCAGAGTGGGGGGCTGTGGGGGGACAGTCAGCTCCATGCTCTGGGATTGGAGAGCGATGAGAGCCATACAGCTCGTGAGTATGCAAGACTCAGAAAACGGGCCCTTTTTAAAATGTTTATTACTGGGGCTGGAGCAATAGCACAGCGGGGAGGGCACCTGCCTTGCACGCAGCCGACCCGGGTTCGATCTCTGGCATCCCATATGTTCCCCTGAGCACTGCCAGGAGTAATTCCTGAGTGCAAAGCCAGGAGTAACCCCTGAGCATTGCTGGGTGTGACCCAAACAGGAAAAAGTAAAAAAAAATTAAAAAATGTTTATTACTTGCTTCTGACCACATCTGGCCACTGACAGGGCAGGACCCCGGGGCCCTACGTGGGATCAAGCAGCACCCACCATGTGCAGGACAAGACGAGCCTCTTCCCCAAGTCTATCTCTCTGCCCAGGGACCATTCCTGGAGGGCTCAGGGGAACAGAGCCGGTGCCGGGGATCGAACTCCGGGTCAGCCACATGCAAGGCAGCGCCTTCCGCGCTGTGGACAGCTCCAGGCCCAGATACACTTTTCTTTTTTCTTTTTTTGTCACAGCGATGCTTAGGGGTTACTCCTGCTCTGCACTCAGGAATTACTCCTGGCGGTGCCCAGGAAACTCTATGGGATGCTGGGAATCGAACCCGCGTCTGCCGCGTGCAAGGCAAACGCCCTCCCCGCTGTGCTATCGCTCAGGCCCCTCAGATGCACTTTGACGTCTGCGGGGGCTGCGGGCGGGAACGAGCCGAGCACGAGGGGCGCTACCGGCTGTGGCCAGTAGGGGGCGGGCCGGGCCGGCCCATCTGTCCTGCCAGGGACCCGCACCGCGCGGGCACGTGTCCCCCCTGGTCCCGAACCCCATCGGCCTCTCACCCACCCGCACGGCCAGAACCCCCGGGTCCCGCCTTGCGGCCCTCGCACCAACCCCAGGGGGTCCGAGAAGGGCGGGCTGAGCTGGGGGCTCCTGGCCGGCCTCCCCAGCCTGCAGGCCTGGAGCGGTCAGTGTCCAGGCGCGTTGGGAGGTGGGGGACACGCGCGCGCACCTCGCCGCGGTGCGAGACAGGATGAAACGTCATCCCCAAACTTGCTGTTCTGGGCAAGGTGCTGGGCACCGGGAGGCAGGTGCCCTCCGGCGAGTTATTTATAGCCGGGATATTTATAGCCGGCTGAGCTCACCCAGGGCGGATTGAGGAGAGGCTCCCACCGCGCGGAGCAGCTGCAGAGGTGCCGCTGTGGGGTCCCTCCCCGGGCTCCGTGGGGCTCCCCTGACCTCCAGTCCGTGGTCCGGAAATCCAGCAGGAAGATTTGGGCGGGGCAGGGGGGGCTTGTGTTGGCGCATTCGCTGCCCAGGACACGGAGTAGAGTGGACCCAACCATGGTCATGACAATGGGGCTAACGGGCCCTGCTCCCCCACCCCACACCCAGATAGGGGTGCCGTGGGCACCTCCTGGGCCCCCCTCCATCCGGCTGCTGTGTGGAGCTGACACATCCCTGCAGGAGCTCCCCCCTGCCCCCCTCCCTGTCCCTCCCCCTCCCCCGCCTGCACTCACCTTGGCAGGCGTGGCCCTTACAAGGTGCCCGCACAGACGCTGGTGCCCTTGGCTAGAAGGACGGAGGCAAAGAGGGGTACTCGGGGCCCATGGAGCGGAAGGGGAGCTCCTGGGGCTGGCGCAGACGCTCGGCGTGCATGCCGTGCAGGCGGCCGACCTGTTCCATGCCCAACATTTACAGTGGACATACAGTGGACCTGGGGCCAGGGCAGCACGCGTGCTTTGTCTGCGGGGGAGCCAGAGCATCCCCCAGTATGGAACTGAGAGCAGCCCCTGGGCTAGCGGGCACGGCCCCCAAGCTGAGAAAACAAAGTGGAGGAAATGCCCCTCCTGCCCCTCCATCCCTCCCCTCTCGCCTTCGTCCTGCTCTGTGGCCGGGCAGGTTCAGGGGCACGCTGAGGCCACCCCGTCTCCTGGATCATGGCCCAGCTCTGCTCCGGAGACAGGTTAGGCTCGAGGGCCAGGCAGACACCCCCACGAGCCACTCTGGAAAACGACCGAGCAAGACACTGAGAGGGCCAGTGTCCACCTACGAGCCTGGGGTGGGAATCTGTCCAGCTCTGTCCACCTCCGCCCGCCCGACTGGGCAACTGGGCACCCCGAGGCCTGCGTGCGGTTCCCAGAGTCCCCCACCACCCCATCCGTGCCTTGGGTATCCCAAACCAACTACTGGTGCATCCTGGTGGGGGGTGGGGCAGGGGTGTCCCTTCATGGGGGAAGGATGGAAGCCAGCCCTGCTGCTCCAGGCCACGCCCCCAGGCCTAGCCGAGTTTGGCATCTGAGAGTCCCTGAGAGCTGAGGGCACGGAGACAGCCCAAGGGGGTGCAGGGAGGTGGGGGGATATCTTGGCAACTTCACCTCATTGTCATTCCAGAAGGAGCTCTGCATGGGACCCCCGGCTTATCTGGGGACAAGGCTGGACCCTTTGGGGCATGGACGATAGTAAGAGGCTTTTCCGCAGGGTGCAGAAAGGAGCCCAGAGCTTCAGGAAACTTTGCTTTCTGTTGTTGTTGTTGTTATCTTTTTGAATCACACCCAGCAGTGCTCAGGGGTTACTCCTGGTGAGGTTCAGGGGACCCTCAGTGATGCCGGGGATCAAACCTGGGTGAGCCGCGTGCAAGGCAAACCCCCACCCTGCTGAATGATCATTCCGGCCCCGCTGCAGGAACTTTTGACACGGATAAAAATATATATTGAGGGACTAGAGGGATTGTATGGGGGTGGGGGGGGAGAGGCGCTGGCCTTGCACACAACTGAACCTCCCAGGAGTGGTCCCTGAGCACCGAGCCGGGAGAAAGTCCTGAGCACTGCCAGTGGGGCCACCCCAAAATACAAGTGTGACGAAGAACTGGGGCACAGGAGCATCCCCCGCCCACACAGACTATGTGTGTGGACTTTGCCACCTCGCCACCCTGTACCCGGTGTCCTGTGCAGCGCCGAGCTCAGGCCAGCGGGTGTGTGCCCCGGTGGGGGTCATTGTCTCCCCTGCTTATCTCGTGCCCCCAAGTGCCCGCAGGCCGGCAGGGCCCCAGGACCCCAACTCCACATCATTTTTCCAGGACTTCGAACAAGCGGCTCCTGTTTCCCCTGGAGCCCCCAGTTCAACTTCCAAGTCCCCTGGGGCTGGAGCAATAGCACAGCGGGTAGGGCGTTTGCCTTGCACGCAGCCGACCCGGGTTCGATTCCCAGCATCCCACCGGGTCCCCTGAGCCCTGCCAGGGGTAATTCCTGAGCACAGAGCCAGGAGGAACCCCTGTGCATCGCCGGGAGTGACCCAAAAATTAAAAAATAAATAAATAAATAAATAAACTTCCAAGTCCCCGTTTCCCTGCGAGCAGGGAGGATTATCCCTGCTACGTCCATCAAACCTAGTGTTTGAGAAAGAAGTCATCAGTGAAATGTGCTTTGCTGGCGGCGTCAAAATAAAACAAAAAAAGGAATGTGGGCAGGGAGAGCTGAGTGTGGGCCACAGGCTCTGTATGTGTGTGTGTGTGTGTGGGGAACGCTGGGAGCCTCCAACTCTGGGGGGGGCGAGGGGGGGCAGGCAGAGTGGTCCACAAAATGACCAAGAAGAGAGGCACTGCATATGGTGCCCTGAGCACTGCCAGGAGCAACTTCTGCGCACCGGGTGTGACTCAAAAGGAAAAGCAATTTCTGGTGCAGGAGGTGTGCCCGGGGCTCTGGCTCGGGTGCCCAGACTCCCCAGGTCCTCCCCGTGGTCCTCCGTGGGCCCTGCCCGAGGAAAGCCGGGCTTAGAGGGGCTCAGCAGCCGCACAGCAGCCCCAGGGCAGACGCAAGAGTTGAACTTCTGTTTGCTTGTTTGGCTGTACCCGGAGGTGCTCAGGGCCGACTCCTGCCTGGCTCTGCACTCAGGGCTCACATCTGGGGGGGCACGGAGCCCTATGGGGTGCTGGGGGTCAAACCCGGGTTGCCTGCCTGCAAGGTCAGTGTCCTCCCGCTCTCCTATCGTTCACGGAGAGAGTGGAACTCGGGAGGGGACTCTGGGGTCACTCTTCTTTCTCCCCGGGTCTCCGCCTCCTTGTCACAGCAGAGTGGAACGTCACGCCCACGCGCCCGTCTTTCTGATTTCCGTGGAGAGCGAGCCCAGATCCTGTGGAACCCTGGCGAGGAGCTGGCCAGACCCCAGTGCCCACAGGAGGGCGGAGCTGACCAGGTGGTTCCATCTGCTCTCTTCCATCGCGCAGAGGGCAAGCCTGGGCCCCGGGTCTGTGTGGGAACTGCAAAGGAGGTGCCAGCATCTGGGGCAGGGCGGGGCGGGCAGCGCCTTGGGGGACCTTAGGGGGCATCTGCGCAGGCTCCCTGGCGTCTGTCCGACCTGACCGTGCCTGATTCACGAGAAATGTCTGCATGGAAGGGCAGGGGAGGGGAGGGAAGGCAGGTGTGCTCCCGCCAGCCGGGCCTGGGGCCAGGAGTGGTCTGGGCCTAGTAACCACAGCAGGTCGCTTTCGCTGGACTCGGTGACCAGCTGGACACAGCCGAAATCTCCACTTCCATTTCACTTCATCTGGGGACTCACCCTCAAGGCCAGTGCTGTTTTGTTCTGTTCCTCTTCTGTCTTGCTTTGGGCCACACCCTGCAGTGCTCAGGGCTCCCTCCTGGCTGTGCGACCAGCCTCGTGCAGGGCAGGCACGCTACCTGCGGCCTCAGAGCCCTCTCGAGGCTGGGAGGTTCTTACTGCTCGGCTTTTTGGGGAGGGGGAGTCTGAGGTCCAGCCCAGGCCTCCCGCAGGTGAGCTATGTGCTCCACCACCCAGCCACGTCCCCAGCCGACCCCCAGAGCCTGAGCAGCCCTGCAGACTTGCTGCCACTGACGTTCACGCCCATTTTGCAGATGAAAGAATGGGGCCCAGGGGGGTTAAGCAGCAAGTCACACAGCTCCTCCTCGGTGTGGCTCTAGGAGAGTTTGGGGGGGGGGGGCAGAGAGAGGGGGAAGGTTCTGTCTGACACAGCCACTGTGGGTGCGGGTGGCATTGGGCTACTGAAGGGGGATCTTGACAGCCAGGGCACCGTTCGGGGAGATGGCCAGGAAGTCATTCTGCTCTCCACTGAGCGGGGGGGGGGGGGGGGGGGGGGGGGGGGGGGGGGGGGGAGCTCTGGGGGCTCCTGACCTGACCCTGAGAGCCGGTGGGGTAGGGGAGGGGCAGAGGGAGGAAGCCTGGATGCCCGCTACCGAGGTGCCGGCGCTTCCCCGAAGAGAAAGTCCAGGAAGGGAGGCCTCTGTGTGCAGGGGCGCCTCCCTGGGGCTCTTCTAGGTTCCTCAGCCTGGGGGCCGAGAGCCGGGCTGGGGACCAACCTTGGGGAAGGAGAACCGGCCCTGCCCCTGCGATGACCTGCTGTTTCCGCACGCCCCTGTGCACCTCCCGGGACCCTTCAGCCGTAGGTGAAGGGTCCTGTCACTCCTCCTGCTTCCCCACTGACCAGCCCCAGCTCAGCCCTCCTGGCAGGTGGTCACGGAGTGCCCCACCCATCGCAGCCCTGGGCCCAGCAGGGATAAAACCGAGAACCCCTGCCTGGAAACCAAATGAAGAGAAAATGACCCGAACAGAGACTAGGACCGGGCAGCAGGAGGAGAGGGGCAAGTTGGCTTTACGCAGAAGGACGCGTCCGCCTAGCTAGAAGCAGGGCAGAGCCCCAAGGAGCCAGAACCCAAGGGGTGCGGGGCGAGGGGTGCGCGCTGACGGCCAGTATCGGGACCTGCACACCTGCCCGCCCGTCCCGTCCACCTGGGCTCGCACCCAGGACTGTGGGTGAGAGCAGAGAGGCTGACGGCGAGTCGCAGCGGGGGCGGACGGTCCATGGAAGAGAGCGAGTCCACCTGTCCCAGACCTGAGCATGCGGTGATCCAGGGCTCCCCCGACCCCGCCGGCCCCGCCTCCCATGCAGGCCCCGCCCCTCCGCCCGCCCCGCCCCCACTCTCAGCCCCGCCTCCCGCTCGTGGCCACGCCTCCTTGCCCTCTGTCTCACCTCTTCACACCCGGCCCCGCCTCCTAGCACCGGGCCCCGCCTACCTCCTCGCTCTCCGCTCTCGGTCCCGCCTCTTCACACCAGGTCCCGCCTCCCCGTGGCCGTCCCCGCCTCTTCTCACCGGGCCCCGAGCTCCCGGCCCCGCCCCCGCGCTCCCGGCCCGGCCCCCGCGCCGGTCCCGGCCCCGCCTCTTCTCGCCCGGCCCCGCCCAGCGCTCCCGGCCCCGCCTCTTCTCGCCCGGCCCCGCCCAGCGCTCCCGGCCTCGCCCCCTTGCTCCAGGCCGTGCTCCCGGCCCCGCCTCTCCGTGCACGGCCCCGCCCATGCTCCAGGCCCCGCCCCCTCGCTCCAGGCTGCGCTCCCGGCCCCGCCCCGCGCTCCCGGCCTCGTTCCTCCGTGCACGGCCCCGGCCCCGCCCCCTCCTTCAGGCCCCGCCCCCTCGCTCCCGGCCCCGCTCCCGGCCCCGCCTCTTCTCACCCGGCCCCGCCCCGCGCTCCCGGCCCCGTTCCTCCGTGCACGGCCCCGGCCCCGCCCCCGCGCTCCCGGCCCGGCCCCCGCGCCGGCCCCGGCCCCGCCTCTTCCCGCCCGGCCCCGCCCCGTACTCCCGGCCTCGCCCCCCCGCTCCCGGCCGCGCTCCGGGCCCCGCCCCCCGTGCGCGTCCCCGGCGCGCGCGCGTCCGGCCCGCGCGGCCCCGCCCCTGCGCCGCCGCCATTGGCCGCGCGGCCGCCGCTCCCGCGCCGTGGCTGCGGCCCGCGCCCACCCCGCGCCCCCCGCCCCGCCGCCGGGGCTCCGCGCGGCGGCGCGCCCGTGACGGCTCCGGGGCGGCGGGGCCGGCGGGGCCCCGGGTGAGGTGAGTGGGCGCCGCTCGGCGGGGGCGCGGGCCGGGGCGCCGCCCGCCCGACGCCGCTTCCGCGCCCGGGGGTCGCGGCGCCCGGGGCCGCCCCCGCCCGAGCCGGCCGCGCGCCCGCCGTGACCTTGGGGGGCGGCGGGCCGGGCCCCGGCCCTGCGCGTCCCGGCGCGGCGGCGGGTGGCGGGGCCGGGTCGAGCCGGGGCCGGGACCCGAGCCTGGCCCGGGGGCGGCCGGGCGGGGCGGGGGGCAAGAGGACCAGGGGGAGGGGCGCGAGCTGCAGTGCCCGCCCCGCCCGCAGATGTTGCAGGCGCCCCGGTCTCTGTCTCTGTGTCTCTCCTGCTGTTCCTCCCTCTCCCTCCCCGTCCAGTGGTGCCCTGGGCTGCCCCCCGCTCCCGCCCTGGGGTCCCTCCCAGTCCCTGGCCTCATATGCAGAGGGGCATCCCCAGGGCTGGGTGGGGCCCCAGGTGGGCCAGGCGGGAGCTTTGCCCCGCGTCCTCCTGGGCTGTGAGGCCGGTGCAGGGCTAAGGCCGAGCCGGGCTGGTGTGCAGCTCAGGGACCTCACTGCTCCCCTGGAGGCCGGGTCCCAGTCACCGACCCCGCCACCCACTGCTCCCCCGACCCCGCCACCCACTGCTCCGTCTGTCTGTCCTAGGGCCGGTGCGCGGTGGCGATGGAGGAGGCCCAGCAGCCGCGGGTCTCTCGGCCCCACAAGATCAGCCAGTCCTCCAAGGTGGGTGCTCGCCGGGAGGGCCGCCCCGTCCCCTCGCCCATGCTCGGTGCCACACGAAGGCGGGTCGGACCTGGTTCTGCCAGCCCGGCATGCCCTCCGACCCGCTGCCGGTCACCCCGCGCCCCCCCACCCCGGGCCCTCGGAAAGCTCCTTCCTCCTCCGTGGGGAGGTGGGGACCCGCTGACGGTGGCCCGGCCGGTGCGAGGTTTCCCACTCGGTGACCGTCTGGCTGCGGGCCACGTTGCAGCCGCATCTCGGTCCCCCGGGACCGGGACCGCCCAGCGCCTGCCTGGACCTCTGAGGCGGAAGCCGGGGGTCTCAGTGTGTCCGGGGCGGCGGGCAAGAGGGAGATGGGGAGGGGGGCGGGAGGAGGCTAGCCGGGAGGCCCCGGGTGGGGGCGCCCTGACGGTGCCCGCCGCCCCCCGCAGGTGTACCGCTGGGCCGAGCACGCGGGCACGGTGCTGCAGCGGCTCAACGAGCAGCGCCTGCGCGGCCTCTTCTGCGACGTGGTGCTGGTGGCCGGGGAGCGGCGGGTGCCGGCCCACCGCAGCCTGCTGGCCGTGTGCAGCGACTACTTCAACTCCATGTTCACGCTCGGCATGCGCGAGGCCTTCCAGCGGGAGGTGGAGCTGGTGGGCGCCTCGCCGCTGGGGCTGGCGGCCGTGGTGGACTTCCTGTACGGCGGGGAGCTGGCCCTGGACGGCGGCAACATCGACCACGTGCTGGAGACGGCGCACCTGCTGCAGGTGTGGCCGGCCGTGGACTTCTGCTGCGAGTTCCTGGAGCAGGAGGTCAGCGAGGACAACTACCTGTACCTGCAGCAGCTGGCCGCCACCTACAGCCTCAAGCGGCTGGACGCCTTCATCGACGGCTTCGTGCTGCGCCGCTTCGGCACGCTGTCCTTCACGCCCGAGTTCCTGCAGAGCGTGCCGCTGCAGAAGCTGTGCGCCTACCTGGGCAGCAGCGAGGTGCAGCGCGAGTGCGAGCACGACCTGCTGCAGGCGGCGCTGCAGTGGCTGACGCAGCGGCCGGGCCGCGAGGCGCACGCCCGCCGCGTGCTGGAGAACATCCACTTCCCGCTCATCCCCGAGAGCGACCTGCTGCAGCGCGTGGGGCCGGCGGTGAGCGCGCTGCTGCCGCGCGAGGCGGGCTGCCAGGGCTTCATCGAGGAGGCCGTGCGCTACCACCACAGCCTGGCGGCGCAGCCCGTGCTGCAGACGCGCCGCTCGGCGCTGCGCACCACCCAGGAGCGCCTGCTCTTCGTGGGCGGCGAGGTCTCGGGCCGCTGCCTGGAGCTCAGCGACGACACCTGCTACCTGGACGCGCAGAGCCAGCGCTGGGTGCCCGAGACGCCCATGCCCGCCCGGCGCAGCCACCACTGCGTGGCCGTGCTCGGGGGCTTCATCTTCATCGCGGGGGGCAGCTTCTCGCGGGACAACGGCGGGGACGCGGCCTCCAACCTGCTCTATAGGTATGACCCCCGCTGTAAACAGTGGATCAAGGTGAGAGTGACGCCCGCTTCTTTCTCTTCTCGCGCTCCCGGCCCCGCCCCCGCCCCGCCACTGCGGCCCCCACTCGGGGTCCCTCCGGAGGGGCCCGCCTGGAGCCCCCTCTGTTGCACCCGTGGCCAAGGGCTGGCACCGGCTGGCACCGGCTGGTCGGCGGATGAGCCAGAGTCTGTGCCGTGCGCCCGGGTGCCCACCCGCCGGGTGGGCCTCTGCCCTGAGCCAACGCCCTGCCCCCTCGCGTCTCTGCCCCCTCCACTGGCCTCCCCTCAGCAGGAGCGCTTGGAGGTGGGGCGGTTCCTCTGCGACCGGGCCACTCACACCTGCATGGGCCCATTCGGGCCTCTGGACTCGAAATGCAGAAGTGAGGCTGCGGGGGGGCCCCCAGGCCTCGCCCTCAGGAATCTAACCCCACACCCAAAGGTGCCGGGGTCACGGCGCAGCGGGGAGGGTGTTGGCCTCGCACGCGGCTGACCTGGGTTCGGTTCTCGGCAGCCCGTGGTCCCCCAAGCACCACTAGGCGTGATCCCCGAGTAGAGAGCAGCCAGGAGTGACCCCAAACCAAGCTAAATCAGTGAATCAAAATGAAACCTGGGCCAGAGGGAGAGTCCAGCGCGGAGGGAGCTTGCCTGTGTGCAGCCCCGCCCGCCCGGGTGCGAGCCCCGAGCACCTCTGGGCCTGGCTCAAAGACCGAGACATGGAAATGGAAGCGCTCGGCGTCTGGACAGGCTCAGGGCCGGGCGTGCAGACGCCGCCTGCAGGAGCCCTGGGTTCCGTCCCTGAGCACTCCCAGGAGTGACCCCCGGGACCCGTTTCTGGGCACCACTGGCCGGTAGTCTCACACTGGTCGGGCATGTGGCCAGGCGCCTACCCTGCCCAGCAGTGCCCAGCTCCACCAGGAAAAACTCTGAATCTGCCCCTCAGCACGGCCTGGCCTTGGGGCTCAGCTTGGGGCCCCGGGGTCTGCTGACCGTTTCAGGAAGTCAGGGCACCCTGGGGCTGGGGCGACCCGGGGCCCTGCGTGGCCCCTTCAAGCACACTGGGAGCCCCCTAGCACCACGCCTGGAACAGCCCCCAGGCACGGTGTGCCCCAAAGAAAGCAGGGGGGTCCCCATGGGCCCTCATTTCCCGCTGGGCCCCGGGAACGCGTCCGAGTATCTGGAAGCCTGCAAGGCCGACCATGTACAGGAGTCTGGGGGCTGTTCCCCTTCTCGGGGAGGGCCCCCAGGACGCCCCGCCGCCGGCAGCACCGCCCTCCCCTCCAACATGCAGGCCCAGCCTCACCCCCGCACTGTGTGGGGGCCATTGGGTCCAGGCCTCTCGCCCCCCTCGCAGGTGGCCTCCATGAACCAGCGCCGCGTGGACTTCTACCTGGCTTCCATCGGGGACATGCTGGTGGCCGTGGGCGGCCGGAACGAGAACGGGGCACTGTCTTCCGTGGAGACGTACAGCCCCAGGACCGACTCCTGGTCCTACGTGGCCAGCTTGCCCAGGTGACGTCGGGATCCTGGGGCAGGGCCAGCGTCGGGAGACCGTCCCCAGGGGAAGGGGCGGGGAGGGGCGGCCCTCTGCCCTCCAAAGCCAGCGGACAGGCGTTCGGTCAGTACAGCCGGGCAGAGCGTGCCCGAGGCTGCCACCGCACCCCCTCCTGGTGCCCCCCTCCCCGACCGGCTGTGCCCCTCCTGGTGCCCCTGCCCCACTGACCAATCGCACCCCCGGTGCCCCGCCCCATGGACCCGCTGCCTCCCCCCCGTGCCCGCCTCACGGCGCCGCCGCTCCCTGCATGCAGGTTCACCTACGGCCACGCGGGCACCATCTACAAGGACTCCGTGTACATCTCGGGGGGCCACGACTACCAGATCGGGCCGTACCGCAAGGACCTGCTGAGCTACGACGTGCGGGCGGCCGTGTGGGAGGAGCGGCGGCCCATGGGCACGGCGCGCGGCTGGCACAGCATGTGCACGCTGGGCGAGCGCATCTACAGCATCGGCGGCAGCGACGACCGCGTGGAGTCCCTGGAGCGCTTCGACGTGCTGGGCGTGGAGGCCTACAGCCCGCTGTGCGACCAGTGGAGCCGCGTGGCGCCCCTGCTGCAGGCCAACAGCGAGGCGGGCGTGGCCGTGTGGCAGGGCCGCATCTACGTGCTGGGCGGCTACTCCTGGGAGCGCACGACCTTCTCGCGCGCCGTGCAGGTGTACGACCAGCAGGCCGACAGCTGGAGCCGCGCCCCCGACCTGCCCAAGGCCATCGCCGGCGTCTCCGCCTGCGTGTGCCCCCTGCGGCCGCCGCTGGAGGACCGGAAGAAGAAGGGCAAGCGGCCGCAGGAGCGGGGCCAGTGACCGCCCGGACGGCAGCCCCTTTTTTACTTTTCTGACCCCCGCGTTTCTATTAATAACTCTTGTCTCGACTTCCGGGTGCGCCTGAGTGACTCAGCCCGGCCCCCCCATGCACGGCCCTGGGCCCCGCCTCTCCGGGGGCACGCGCTTGTGGTGGCCTCGGGGCAGGGGGCTGTTTCGGCGCCTGGGCTGTGGCTCCCCAAACCTGCTGAGCTTCTCCAAGCCGCCCCCCCACCCCCAGCCTTGCGGGCGGCTGGCGTAGCCCGGGCAGCTCTGCCCTCTGCCCTCAGCCAGGTGTCTGGCATGGCCAGCGCGAGGACCCTCCCTGGGGCCCCCTCCCGGAGACGGTAGTCTCAGAATTACCCCATCTTTCCTGGCTGATGATCTTCCCAAGTTCTAGAAGGTTCTCAGAAAGCAGGGCCCGGAGAGATAGGACAGGGGTATTGGTACACAGGTAGCCAGCCCAAGGCTTGTCCCCACATGCAGCAAACCCAGATTTGATCCCCGGCACCACATGGGGTCCCTGAAGCTCCAGCTGTCCCGGCCAAGTGAGCACTGAGCTCAGAGCCTGGAGGAAGCCTGGGCTCCACTGCAGGGGACGTGGGCTGGGGCAGCTTGAGGGGCGGGGGGCGAGCACTGAACTCCCGGACCCGCCGTGCCCACCTCCTGGCCCCGAGGCCCAAGCTTGGCCCAGCCATCCTCGTCCTTCCTCGTGGCCGGGAGTCCCAGTGCTGTAGCTCAGCTCTGCAGCTTCCCTGGGGGCCGGGGGTGTCAGATGCAGGACTCCCCCCGGGCACCCCCACAGCCATGGTCTCCCCTCTCAGTGGCCCGAGTCACTCAGGCCCGCGTCCCCAGGGTGCTCTGCAACCCCCACCTGGGGTCCCACTCCCGAGATCGCAGAGGCGCCCGCTGGGGGAGGGTCCGAAGAAGGAGCAGCGGGAGGGGCCGGTGCCCTCCAGAAGTCCTGCAGGGTGAGGGCAGGCGGGGGGTGGGGGGGGGAGCCGGTCTGTAGCTGTGTGACATGGCAGCGGCGGCCCCCCGGGCCCCATCATGCCCAGTCCAGGCTGCGCCTGCCCACCTGCACCTTTCACGGCCGCAGTGGCGCCACCATGTGAAGAACTTTCCTGCGGGGTGGCACAGCCCAGCATGGAATCTGGGTTCTGGCCTGCACCCAGCATCGGGCTCCATCCCCGCGTCTCACAGGGTCCCCCAAGCACCGCCACAAGAGTACAGACCTTTGCCTCGCACACAGCCAACCCGGGTTCAGTCCCCAGCACCTAGATGGTCCCTGAGCACTCGAGTGCACCAGGAGTTAGCCCTGAGCATTGCCAGGCGTGGCCCCCCAAAACCAACCAAAAGGCTTCAGTTGGGGGTGGGTGTCCCGGAAGCTGGGGGCCCCTGGGGCCCCTTCCTGCGCTCGTAGTTCAGGGTCGCGGCTCCCCTGGGTCAGGCCGCAGCGGGCAGGGGCCACCAGGTCTGGAGGGGCCCAGCTGCAGCTCCACCTCCAGCGGGCGTGGCCCCAGTAGCGCCAGGGATCCTCCCGCAGTGATGCCACCACCGGGGCACTGGCACTCCCGTGGCTGTTTATTGTGTTGAGGGGGTTGGGCCGCCCCCACTGCTCTGGCCCAGCCCATGCGGTGCTGGAGACGGGGCCTGGGGCTTGCAGGCCTCCCCGTGCTGCCTCGTGGCCTCCTCTGCTCCCTGGCACCTGTGACCGCAGTCACAGACAGACCCAGTACCCTGGGCTCCAAGAACAGCCTGACCCGGAGACTTTAACACGCCCCAGCCACTGTGAGCTGGAGGCGAGTCTGGGGCACAGCCCTGCGGCCACCGCTAGGAGGCGCTGCCGAGCACCGCCTCGGGCCGGAGGTCAGCACTGCAGGGTCTCACCCCCAGGCCAGATTTGGGGGGCCCATGTGTGTTCTCCGGGAGTCCTTCAAGCAAGTCCAACACACCAGGCATGCTCAGATAGTTCTACCTAGAAGGATTGACACTGCGCTAGATGGTTCTGGATGGCTCTGTCTCCTCTGTCCACAGACCCACCTGACCTGCGAGGCTGGACCTGGACCAAACCAGGGGCTCCCCTCTGGCCACTGGCAGTCAGCCCCAGAAGCCTGACGTTACATAATCCCCTCCCCCCAGCCTTGACCCTCCAGGGTCTCCCAACTTCCCTCTGATGCCAACAGGAAGCTGAGAGCCTCCAAGGCCTTTGAACAGAGACCTAGCTTCCTGAGTCACCCCAAGGGACTCCCCACTCCGGTCACCTAAAGTTATGAGGCGCCTCTGGGGGTCTGAGTCTTATGGATTTAGGCTGCACAGCCTGGACTCACGCCTCTGTGTTTTTTTTTTTTTTTTTTTTTTCTTTTTGGGTCACATCCAGCAATGCACAGGGATGACTCCTGGTTCTGCACTCAGGAATTACTCCTGGTGGTGCTCAGGGGACCCTATGGGATGCTGGGAATTGAACCTGCGTCGGCCGTGTACAAGGCAAATGCCCTACCCGCTGTGCTATCACTCCAGCCCCCTTGCTCCCCTGTTCTGAAGGCTCGCCGGGGGCCAGGCTCCCACTGTGCAAGAGCACCTGCTGGCATCCAGACACAGGGCAGGGCACTCACGGAGGACTCTGGCCGCCACCAAGGACGCTGCCTGAAGCCTCCCAGGGGCCGAACGGCAGCGCCGTCCAGACAAGAGAAGACCCTCGGTGCAGGAGCCCCTCCTGACCAGCCCCAAGGGCACCCCGGCCTGGGGGGCGCTGGCGGCTCAGGTGGGGCTGTGCCAGCCTCTGAGAGTCCAGCCCAGCCGCCTGGGTAGGGACAGAGTGCGGTGACAGCACCAAGTGCATCTGGGCGGGTTGGTGGCGGTTTCCTGGGTGTTGCTTCCGAGGGCCACTCCTGGCAGTGCTCCGGAGACCTGTGGCTCCCACATGCAAAGCCGGTGCTCCAGCCCCGAGGCGAACTTCTCTACACCGAAGTCTTCTGTAAAAATTATTTTTTGTGGGCCTGAGTATTGCACAGCAGGAAGGGCGTTTGCCTTGTATGCAGCTAACCCAGGTTTGATCCCCGGCATCCCATATGGTCCCCAGAGTACTGCCAGGAGTAATTCCTGAGGGCACAGCCAGGAGTAGTGTGCAGCGCCAGGTGTGACCCAAAAGAGCCGACCCCCCCAAAAAAAACTGATAGGACAATAGGAAGGGCACTTACCTTGCACACGGACAACCCGGGTTCATCTCTGGCATCCCAGACGGTCACTGAACCCTGCCAGGAGTGATTCCTGAGCACAGAGCCAGGAGTAAGCCCTGAGCACCACTGGGTGTGGCCCCAAACCCAAAAATGAATAAGTGCAAATACAACTATAAAAAATTATTTTTGCAATACTAGATGTGAAACAAAGATCTGAAAACCCAAAGAACAGAGAAGAAATGTACAAATTACCCCAAATCCTAATACCTAGGGTAAGCATCTTATTTTTTATTTGTATTTACTTTCGGTTTGCAGTTACTGGTTTTGGCATATCGAATACACAACGGATAGCTTGCGAGGCTCTGCCGTGCGGGCGGAAAACATTGTTTTAATAACACCAAACATCAGCCTAGCGGCACAAACGCTGGCCGACTTTGACCGTGAGTGTGGAAAGGCAGGACTACAGCTGAATCTTACGAAGACAATGTTTATGAGAAACAGCCTCGTTCCTGACGCCCCATTCGCTCTCAACGGAACGACCATCTCCGAATGCAACAGCTATGTGTACCTAGGTCGAGAGGTCAACATGACAAATGACCTGGCACCCGAGCTGCGCAGGAGGAAGAGAGCGGCTTGGAACGCCTTCAAGAACGTCGAAGAAATAGCTAAGAGGACGAAGAACCTCCGGCTCCGGGCACATCTCTTTGATTCCACTGTTCTTCCTGCATTAACATACGCCTCAGAGACCTGGGCCCTACTGCAAACAGGATGAGAACGCCATTCAGGTCTCCCAAAGAAGAATAGAAAGAGCTATGCTTGGAATATCACGTTTCACTCAAATGAGAGAAAGAATCCGGAGTTCTGACATCCATCGACGATCAAGAATCAGGGACGCTGTCTCATTTGCCAAGGTGTCGAAAATCAGATGGGCTGGTCACGTAATGAGATTTAAAGACGACCGCTGGACTAGAGCTGTTACTGACTGGATTCCACGGGATGTCAAAAGACCACGTGGCCGCCCACCTACCAGATGGTCAGACTTCTTCGTCAAGATCATGAACGATCGGTTTGAGGCCCTTCATGTTCCCGGAGCGAACAGATGCCATTGGGCTACACTAGCACGCGACAGGGACAAACGGAGACGTTACTGGTGCCCGCTCGAGCAAATCGATGATTAACGGGAAGTCAAGTGACCAAGTGATTTACTTTTGGTTTGCGGTCCACAACTGGCAGTGCTCAAGAGAACCTACTCGGAGCCAGGGATTGAACCCAGGTTGGCCACACGAAAGGCAAGTGCCCTACCCCTGGATTATCTCTCTCGCAAAAGAGGTTGTACTTTTTACCTCTCAAAGTGACCCCCTGAAATGTGTGTTCTTTTTCAGTGGGGGGGTCCCAAGCAGTGTGCAGATGCCAGATGGCTGGGGGGTTCCGTGCGGATGAGGCACTTCTCGGGCCGTGGGTGTCTGGGATGAACTCAGTCCTGAGCATGAGGACTGCGATGGCAACCTTGGCGTGTAAAAGGACACGCATCAAGCTGGTCATGACAACGCGAGCGACTAGGGCCATTTGGACACAGGAAGCGTGCACGGGAGAGAATTTCACAAACCCCCTTTCTAATAATATGGAAACAAACTAATGTATGTCACAAGGAAACTCAAATGCAAACCTCAGAGCCGTGGTCAGAGAGATGCCCGCGTCCCCTCTGCCCCTGGGGAACAGAGATGCCCTGTCCTCCTCTGACCCCGCCTGCCCTGGGGGCTATCTGTGTCAGGACTGAACCCTGCACAGCCAGCGCTGCTCAGGACTGGGTCCTGGTTCTGCACCCAGG